ACTATTTTAGCTCTGTGGATCAATCAACAGTATTGTTATAAGCCAACTTTTCAATAAATGGGCCCCTGTTAAGGCCTTACCCCATAAATATTGTAAGTAAACGCCTTCTGTGGCAGTGTACTTAATATGAGCTTATTTTTAACAGATACCATGAGCAAGGCTATTTCAGTGTTAATTTACTCAAATGCACTTAAAATTAATAAACCTGCAATTTTTCCAAGAGTCTGACAGCAACTTTATTTTTAAACGCTCTTTAAGCATCCAAAAAAGTTCAATCTGGTCCTCTGGACATTCAAAAAAAAAAAAAAAAACAAAGCAAAAAAATATAGAAACATTTCGTCTCTCATCCAAGAGACTTCCTCAGTCTGAGGTGCTGTTTTCAGCTCAGTCTCAAATAGCTTTAGGTAATAGTAATTGATTTAAAATGAGTGGTTCACTTCAACATTAGAAATGATATGAACTAAACACACTTTTTAAGTATCAAGATATTGTAAAATAGTAATGATAATATAAAAAGAAGAGTGTTCTTTCAATTGATTAATTCAGGATACAATTAGACGGTCTCTGGACGAAGTAAGTGTGCATTTAGTCTTCTGTCTGAATGAGGGGTAGTGGACCTGATGTCGGTCGAAAGTCAGAGACAAGTTATTAGAACGAAGTGTCTTGTTTTTAAAACTCTCAGACAGTAAATAAGAGCTGCTGGCACTTGCATCCTCTCTCTTCTTCAAAACATTATCTGTCTGTACTAACCGTTCTTAAAACATTCCTGCTGTCTCTTGACTCCTAGTGACCCTCTGACATCACTAAAACTACACCCCTGCTGGTTGTTTCAACCAATCAGGAAGTACCACGTAACAGGAAGTGGATACCCTTTAAAAGGCAACACTTCTTGGAACTATTCAGTCTTTTCCGAGTCTTCGGAGTCTTCGCAGTCTTTTCCAGTCTTCCGAGGCTTTCCAGTCTTGCTGGAACTTTCAGTCGAAGATGAGACTCAGTCTGATGGCGAGTAGTACAGGAACTTTCAGTTCTTACTGAAAGTCAACTAAGTAACGGATGGATTTGACCATGTGCCAAGGGTCTCTCCATTCCAGCGTAGTCACAGCCTGCCTCGGCTGTGACTCAACCCGAGCAGTAAATGCTCAACTTCTAAGGAAGCGTATTCTGTTGAACTGAGTACTTCGTCACGACTTCTGACGACCCCAGCCACTCTGACCGGAGACGCTGAAAAGGGAGCGTGCCAATGGACCTCTGTTCCGGAGTGGACGTATCCACCATCTCAGGTAACAAGCCGTTGATACCCTGAAGTGTACCGGAGGGCTGAACTGGATTCGGAGGAAGGTTGCCATTTTCTGGTTCAACACATAACTTTCATCCATCTAAACTTCCTCCTTAAATCTATTCCTTCTCTAAAAACTTCTCTATTCGCCAGTAAATCAAGCTCGATGCCTTCAGAGATGAATCAGTCTCAATCAGTAATCTTCTGTTGTCTTGTTAGTAAATCGTGCCAAGTTTATTAATCAGAAACAGATCAGCAAATCAAAGTGTACATGTTTGATGTTAAATTTTGATTCTGTTAAATAAATGACCGCTTTTATTCTCATGGGTCAAAGATAAAATGGCGTCTCGTGTCACTGATTAAACACTCCACTCACAAGTTATCTTGGTCACATGGAAGAAATTTAACTCGAAAAAGAAAATAATCCGTTGTAATTGAACAATTAATATTATTTGTGCTTGAACTAGCTTTAAGAATAATTAATTAGTAGTGAAGTTAACCCTTACATCACTACACATGCATCAGAACATTTTCTAGGGAAAATTGCTTTTTTTAACTGAAAAAAACATTTTTGCCTCCATTTTTCTAGTAATAAATGTTTTTCATTAAACACTGTATAATTTATGCAGCATTTTGCACAAAAACCTGTACAGTACATTTGTTGTTACCATCCAAGAAACATTTCAAAACTACCATGTATGGTATCACAGAAGGAACTAGAGATGATTGTTCATGCTTTTATTTCCTCTCGTTTAGATTAATGTAACAGCATTTTAATGGGTCTGGATAAATCTTCCCTAGCTCGCCTTCAGTCTGTGCAGAATGCTGCAGCGAGGCTGCTAACTAGAACCCACAGAAGAGCTCACATAACTCCTGTTCTGGCCTCTCTTCATTGGCTCCCTGTGCATTTCAGGAGTCATGTTAAAATGTTGGTCCTAACTTTCAGGGCACTTCATGGTCAGGCTCTCAAATATTTATCGGACCTTTTAAAGCCTCTCTGTCTCATCAGGACTTTGAGATCTTCAAATCAAATGTTGCTGATGGTACCAAGAACTTACTTTAAAACACGTGGAGACAGTGCATTCCAAGTGGTAGCCCCGAGGCTTTGGAATGCTCTCCCGCTGTCACTGCGCTGCTTAGATACTCTTTTTAAAAAGATCTTGAGACTTATTTATCCAGACTGGTTTTTATTGAAATTTTGTTTACTTTTTCTTGTTTGTTTTGCTCGTGAAGCACTTTGTGATGTTATTGTCTGTGAAAGGTGCTATAGAAATAAAGATTACCAAACAGGTAGTGGGTGTGATTCAAACAGGAACAAGCAACACTGATGTTCTCCGTCGATGATAGGTTTGAATAATGAATGACTAAAGTTTTTGAGATGAGTTTTTCTGGACTGGAAATGAACAGGGAATGCAGGTAAACCTTAATATTTTTGGTAAGATGTTCAAGTGGGTAGGAGTTCCACTGTGGAGCAGAACAGAGGTAATTTGAGACAGATCCTGGTGAGCAAAGGGAGCAATTTTATCCACTACCAGTCGCAATGGCGGAGCAAGGGGGTGGCTAGACCTGTCACGATAACAAATCTTGCTGGGCGATTAATTCTCTCAGAAATTATTGCGATAAACGATAACATTGTTTGAAATTTGACAATAGTTAGTAACTGTCAAACTTAAGAAGAAATGTTGAATTTTTTTATGTAATACTTTTATTGATCACTCGATGGCAGTTTAAGACAGTTTGAACCGAAGGATGGATAGTGAGGGAGTGAGCAACGTGTCTCTAAGCAAAATGGGAAGGAGGCCCCCTGACATGACATGGGTTGTCTCTTGTTCCTGTTTTTCGGTTCTCAAAAAGGCGGACGCTCGGTGTGGTTTGAGCATAGCATTTTTCATACAAATCTTTTAATTAAAAAAAATCAGTAAACAAGTTCTCAGCTTCTTTTTGCAGAGAAAAACAACTTTTTAGAAAAAGGCACGGGCTTCAACTGTGAATTTTGGAGCTTTGACAAGACGGAGGTTTTTTCCCCGAGGTCGGCCTGTTAGCTTAGCTTGTAGCTTAGCTTCTCAGCTTAACTGCTTTTAACAATCCAAAAACGTGATTTTGGATGTTTAAAATAGATTTTAAAGATAAAAGAGAAAGGGAAGGGTCATTGAAGAGCACCGGAGTTGAGCCTTTTTATCCAGAGTCTTCAATAGAAAGAAAGAGACAAGAAGAAACGATAAAGCCGATAAATGAAAATGTGGTTGATCATGTTAACTTATTATGCGATTAATTGATTTATTGTTTATCGCGACAGGCCTAGGGGTGGCCAGTATTGGTCTTGGCCAACAGATTTATATTTGACCACCCCAATCATATCTTTTGATCCATTGTTAGTCTGATGGTCCTTCTTGAGCATGTGATAAGCTGGTTTTGGTTGTCAGCAGCAAACTGGTTGATCCACTCTGAGAAGGTGCTATTTAAGAGACTGAGCTGAATACAGCACCTCAGACTGAGGAAGTCTTTTGGATGGAAGACGAAACGTTTCTACTTTTTTGTTGTTGTTGTTTTTGCTTTGTTTTGTTTTTTGAATGTCCAGAGGACCAGATTTAACTTTTTTAGATTGTTCTACCCGATTACTAATCAGCATCAGGACATATCTTTTAATCTTATCTAATCCAATTTAATCTTGCAGATAAGAAAAGTTAAAATGTTTTTTAAACTTGCATTTCTGTAAATGACAATAATGGCTGTTAAAAGTCTGAAGAGATTACTTCATTGACCCAACATCCATTAAAGGTGCAGATATCACCCAATGCAGACATTTAAATGAAGATCATCTCAGGTCCAGACAGTGGACTTGTCTTTAACAAGCTCACTGAAATAGTTTGAACAATTTAACAGTGTTAAAGCTATTTCATTCAATCCAGGAAAACAATTACATAAATATTATGTTATCAGTTCGTATGTTTCAGGAACAACTCTCAACTACTACCGCATGAAATTTTAGCTCAGTATTTGTAAAACTAACTGAATTAGTCATATTTGTGTTTGACAAGTTTTTGTATTTTCTGCTTTTGAGTCAACCCAACTGGCTTTGTGGATTTAGAAAAAGCATATGACAGGGTGCTGAGGGAGGAGGTGTGAGGAAATCTAGCATGGCAGAAAAGTACAGTATGTTAGACTGGTACAGGACATGTATGAGGACAGCAGGACAGTGGTGAGATGTGATGTAGGAGTGACAAATAGCTTTAAGGTGGAGGTGGGAGTGCATCAAGGATCAGCTGTGAGCCCCTTCTCGTTTGTTTTGGTGATGGACCGACTAACAGATGAGGTCAGGCAGGAATCCCCATGGGCGATGATGTTTGCAGATGACATTGTGATCTGTGGTGAGACCAGGGCACAGGTAGAAGAGAACTTGGAGAGGTGGAGGTATGCACTTGAAAGAAGAGGAATGAAAGTCAGCTGTGGTAAGACAGAGTACATGTGTGTGAATGAGAGAGGCCAGTGGAGCAGTGAGGCTACAAGGAGCAGAGGTCACAAAGGTGCAGGACTTCAAGATGATGCTTAATTTGAGCCAGATCCTGCCGGAACAAGATCTGGGAACTCCCTCATTTTGACTGGGTGTGTTCCGGCAACTGTTTGCTCAGATATAGCAACACAAATCTCCACCCCTAACAGTCCAAAGTCATTGTGCATTTTTATTTTGATTATTTATTAAAAATACAATGAGAGGAGACGTTGCCTCGTCTGTGGAGTGGATATTACGGCTGCAGCAGGCGCACCAGCTCGCGCACATGCTCCTGCCCAGCAGAGACGCAGATGACATGTCCCGCGGGGATGAAGTGTTTTCCCTGTATGGCAAGTCAAGTGGCCCATTAATAGCCAGAAATGTGGTAAAAGTGGCTATTAATGGGCCACTTGGCTTGCCATACCTTATGCACAGCGTCGTCTCCAGACAGCTCTGAGTGCGCACAACTGCTGATGGACTCATGCATACGTTTCAGACATAATAAATAAAAAAGCTTAGCTACAGTAAAAAAAATGAGAGAAATGTTTGATGTGTATAATTCACATTAATCACGCATCAAAACAACAACACTAATTTGTCAAAATAACAGCGATCAAAGACAGTCCAGTTTACTTTCATTAAATAAATGGATGGATGGATTGTCCTTAGTTGGACAACAGAGAAGGCAGTCGTAATTGAGATTGGAGCAGCAGGAGCATAAACGCAGGAATGAATTCAGTGGGGAGGAGTTTGACTGAAAAACATGAAGTGTGTGTGTGGAAGGGGGGAAGGACGCTTGACAGAATCGGAACTACACTACTCGCTCACAACCTCTTGTTGCTCTCTAAAATAGTAATTTAATCGTGTTTACAAATATAGGTAAACGTAGATGTTTAACAACCAGTTAAAATAGGCTGCACCAAAATGCAGGAAATATAATCTAATTTATTAAAAAATTTAAGAGGGAGGAGGACCTACAAGCTCCCTCCACTTCCCCCGCGCACCCCGCTCCATTGGCCCCCGACCCACCGGCTGGCAACCATCCCCCTTCGCCGGCAGGCCCACTATTTGCGTTCTGGCATCTATCAATTTACCAATTAAACCCTAATTTCAAGCACGACGGCTCAGTGGTTAGCACTGTTGCTTTACTGCAAGAAGGTCCTGGGTTCAATCCCAGGTTGGACCTGGGGTCTTTCTGTGTGGAGTTTCCATGTTCTTCTCGTGCTTGTGTGGGTTTTCTCCGGGTACTCCGGTTTCCTCCCACAGACCAAAAAACATGCATGTTAGTCTGCCTTCAGGTCCAGGCCTCCCTTGCAAAAGAGATCTGTGATGTCACTGGGATATGCCTGGTTAAATAAAGGTTAATTAGGTCGTTTTCACACCAGATAGTCCGGTAGACTCGGTTCGGTTCAGGACCAATATTCATGACCTTTTGTTACATTTGAGCTGGTGCGTTTGCGTTCACACTGCACTGTGCAGTCGAGTCAACCTGTTGAACCAACCTATTCCCCCGCTCGCCTGTGGGGGCGCTGCACCAAGAACTACTGAAAGAAACAACACAAAACACGTCTTCTTCTTCTGGAAATAAAAACAAAAACGGAGTGGCATCAAGTTTTATCAGTTTGAGGAGTTATATTTTGTCATTTTTCAACAATGGACTCAGCATGAACAGAAGATGAGACAGAAGACCATGGAGAATATTGTTTTTCACACAAGGCAGCTGACGGCTCCATATGAGGTCAGAGAAACGCGTGTTTGTTTGCCCTGTGCTGTACTCCACTTCCTGCTTGTGGAGCGGGGCTCGGTCTGATTACATTCACACTGTACTCGAACCGCACTGGAATTCTCTTCTACCAGACCGAACCTAGGTTTTAGCCCGGGCCAGAGTTCACCATTTTGTTCCGTGACCGAGCTACTGCATTTTGTACAAGTTGGAGACGTGAAAGTGAAGCCTGAATAATCCCAACATAAAGTGAGTTACAGTAGTCCAGCCGGGTTGTAATGAATGCATGGATTATGCTGGTGAAGATTCTCAGTCATCCAGGACATGATAAATTCCTAAATAAATAATAATAAAATAAAAAATAAAAATAATAAATAAACATTGAAGTTTACAGAAAACCAACCCACACAGACCAGTATCTTCTGTTTGACTCCCACCATCCACTGGAACACAAACTCTCTGTCATCAGAACTTTACAACATCGGGCCGAATGCGTCCCCACAAAGACAGAAGGGAAGGAAAAGGAAATGAAACATTCAAGAAGCTCTTCTAACATGTGGATATCCTAACTGGGCTTTTGTCAAGTCAGCGAGGAAATCTACAAAACACACTAATAAACAGAAAAAGGAGAACAACAGACGTAAAAACATTGTCATCCCTTATGTTGCTCGAGTATCAGAGAAATTCAGAAGGATTTTCAAAAAGCACAACATCCCAGTACATTTCAAACCCAGCAGGACTCTCAGACAGAGGCTGGTCCACCCTAAGGACAAAACACCCATACACAAACAGAGTGGTGTAGTGTATGCGGTCCAGTGCAGCGAGGACTGTCCAGACCTCTACATTGGAGAAACTAAACAGCCTCTTCACAGATGCATGACTCAACACAGGAGAGCCACCTCCTCTGGACAAGACTCAGCTGTTCACCTCCACCTCACAGATAAGGGACACTCTTTTGAGGACCAAAATGTGCACATTTTGGACCGAGAACACAGATGGTTTGAGAGGGGGGTGAAGGAGGCAATTTATGTAAAAAGAGAAAAGCCGTCTCTTAACAGAGGAGGAGGCCTCAGATTTCCACTTTCAAAAACATATAATGCAACTTTAAAACAGATCCCCAGCCGGTTTTCACACCTGATGGGAACAGAGGGGCCTCGTCTGTGAATTAGAGGAACAAAAGACATTAAGAACCCCCTACTGTTAAGGTGTGAGGTGTGAATTATCAATCTACATGTGTGTGTGTGTGTCTTATCTCACTCAGCCTTATAACCTGAATCTCTCACTCTCTGCTCTTTGAATTGAGAAAGCTCCTCGGATGAGGAGCGACACGTCTTCTGTTACAAATAAAGTCCAGTTGTTTTTGTATTGAACGCTTTTTGAAAATGCATGGACTAGTTTTTCAAGGTTGGATCTGGACAGAACAGACTTCAGTTTAGCTATCTGTCTTAGCTGAAAGAAGCTTTTTTGAGACAAAAGGGTGTCATCAAAGGTCAAAGGAAAAGTTTACAAGACAGTGGTGAGACCAGCTCTGTTGTATGGTCTGGAGACAGAGACATGGACAAAAAGACAGGAGACAGAACTACAAGTGTCAGAAATGAAGATGTTGAGGTTCTTCTTAGGAGAGACAAGGATGGAGAAGATCAGGAATGAGATCATCAGAGGTACAGCACAGGTTGGACACCTGGGAGGTAAAGTTAGAGAGGACACACTGAGATGGTTTGGACATGTGGACATGTCCAGAGGAGGGCCAGTGGTTTGGACATGTCCATAGGAGGGACAGTGGTTTGGACATGTCCAGAGGAGGGACAGTGGGTATACTGGTAGAAGCATGTTAGAAATGCAGCTGCCAGGAAAAAGACAAAGAGGAGACATATGGATTATAGAGGACATGGAGGTTTGGAGTGAGGACAAAGGACACAGAGGACAGAGTGAGATGACTCACTGTGGAGACACCTGAAGAGGGAAAAGCCGAGGGAGGGAGAGAGAGGGAGAGACTTCACTTTTCAGTTTTTTATTTGTTAAAAAAGTTTGACACATCCAATAAATGTCATTTCACTTCACGATTGTGTCCCACTTGTTGTTGATTCTTCACAAAAAAATAAAATTTTATATCTTTATGTTTGAAGCCTGAAATGTGGCAAAAGGTTGAAAAGTTCAAGGGGGCCCAATACTTTCACAAGACACTGTACTAACATTAAATACTAATTAAATCTATTTTATGACATTTTTATTGCAAATGGCCCCCGGGCCGGACTTTGGACACGCCTGATATAATCTAAACAATGCAGCTCGACATATCTTGATATCTTCTGTTTTTAAACAAAGTTTTTTTTTGTTGTTTGGCTGAAGAATGAGACTTGTAGAAAGAAAGAGCATCTCAAAGGGAAAATGAAATTACACGAGTCAAAATCATTAAGTAGGAGAACACAGAAACCCTGTGTTCATAATTTCATTCCACTTCATGTACCACATGTGATGTGAATGACAATAAATTACCTTGAACTTAAGAAGTCCAGGACCCAGTTGCACAGGGAGGGGCTTAGTCCTAATGTGAGTAGTTTGTCCATCAGGGTCTGGGGGATCGTGGTGTTGAAGGCAGATGTGAAGTCCACAAAGAGCATACGGACGTAGGAGTCCTGCTGCTCCAAGTGGGTGAGAGCAGTGTAGACCACAGAGAA